ATATTGTAAAAAGATATTTTCTGACAAAATGGCACTTTTGACCATTTCCATTTCCACTTTCCAATCGTTATAAAAATTTAACTCCTATCTTCGAAACTTTTTCAAAATTTTCTGTCGTCTTCTCTGTTATGCTCATCATCGTATATCAATCACGGTGCGCCACTTTCGAATCACTTTCACGCTCCGCAATCTCAACGGAGGTTGCCATTCACATGCTAATGTACCTAATCGACATAGAAATTCGCAAAATGTCACCGAAGACAAATCGCAAAGAATAAATGGGGAGAAAAGAAGGAAAGAAACTTTCGCGCTCGCGTTAATCCCACACCGTGTGATTTTCCTAGGCGGGACCGAGGTTCGCGGAATCGAAACGAGTCTGCGAGTCGCGGAAGCTAATTAGGCGAATGGCGCAATGAGGACCGAGGACGGCTATAATTGGCCGTCGCGGTGAAAACGAGGGAAGATTGAGAATCGAGGCGAGCACCGCGTTGCACCCTGCTGAAAAGGTAACTCGGCCAGAAGGAAAGCGCGAGTAAACCGGTTACCAGAGGAAAAAGGTTATGGATTTTCTCGTCGCACGCGAGCTGATTTCTCCCGATGAGTGAAAATTCATCCGGTTCTCGCTGGAATTTTCTTCGGACGATTTTACGACGGAAAGCTTCGATACGATTGAGTTTTGTTGTAGTGGCGCTGCTGTGCTTTGATCGAAGGACTTTGGAGGAGTATGGTAATGTATGAGACATAAGTGTGTAATTGATGGTGAATTTATTGAGTGTATGTTCATTGGTGTTTGTTATTACCTATGAGTTTTCAGTTTCGAGCTCTGAGTTAGAAATACTGAGTTTTGAATTCTGAGGCCTGAGTTCTGATTTATGAGTTTTGAGTACTGATTTCTGAGTTCTGAGTTTTTCATTATTAGATATTTGTTAATCGTTGTGCGAAGATCTGAGATCTGACATTTGATTTCAGAATTCTGAGATTTGAAATCTGAGTTCTGAAACCTGAGTTCTCAGTTCTGAGTTCTGAGTTCCGAATTCTAAGTACCAAGGTCTAAGTTCGGAGATCTGAGATCTCACATCTGAACTCGTGGCTCTGAATTCTGAAATCTGAGTTCTGAGTTCTGAGACTTGAGTTCTGAGTTCTGAGTTCTGAGACTTGAGTTCTGAGTTCTGAGTTCTGAGACTTCAGTTCTGAGTTCTGAGTTCTGAGTTCTGAGTTCTGAGTTCTGAGTTCTGAGACTTGAGTTCTGAGTTCTGAGTTCTGAGTTCTGAGTTCTGAGACTTGAGTTATGAGTTCTGAGTTCTGAGTTCTGAGTTCCGAGACCTGAGTTCTGAGTTCTGAGTTCCGAGACCTGAATTCTGAGTTCCAAGGTCTAAGTTTGGAAATTTGAGATCTGAGATCTCAACTCGTAGTTCTGAATTCTGAGTTCTGAGTTCTGAATTTTGAATTCTGAGTTCCAAGGTCTAAGTTCGGAAATTTGAGATCTGAGATCTCAACTCGTAGTTCTGAATTCTGAGTTCTGAGTTCTGTGTTTTGAATTCTGAGTTCCAAGGTCTAAGTTCGGAAATTTGAGATCTGAGATCTCAACTCGTAGTTTTGAATTCTGAGTTCTGAGTTCTGAATTTTGAATTCTGAGTTCCAAGGTCTAAGTTCGGAAATTTGAGATCTGAGATCTGAACTCGTGGTTCTGAATTCTGAGATCTGAAATCTGAGTTCTAAGACCTGAGTTCTGAGTTCTGAGTTCTGAATTCTAAATTCCAAGGTCTAAGTTCTGAGATCTGAGATCTGATAGCTGAACTCATGGTTCTAAATTGTGAAATCTGGAATCTGAGTTCTGAGATCTGAGTTCTAGGATTTCAGATCTGAGATTTGAGTTCTGAGTTCTGAAATCTGAGTTCTAGGATTTCAGATCTGAGATTTGAGTTCTAAGTTCTGAGATCTGTAATACACATTGTTATAAGTATTTTATTGTGTTAGGGTTATATTTTTGGAATTGTTTTACAAGGTTTTCACAATCAGTGTATGTGAATTGTTTTGGTAGATAATTTTGGAAGATTTCACGAATCTTATGATGAATTCAGGAATTTTATTGGTAGGATGAACCACTGCAGAGTTTAATGTTCATGCTTGTCCTCGTAGTGAGAGAACTGTGTTGATTTAAAATACATTCTAATTCATGTAAATTTATGTAATATCGTTAGATGATAATTCAAATTTTAAGGAAGGTATTATAACGTAATTCTGATCTAGTATATGCACTTGATACATTAAATAACAATATTTAATATTTATTTATGCAAACAATTTAACGTTTACATAAAGCACTTTTGAGTTCAATACTTATATTATTTCAACGATGAAGAAACCTGTATTTGTTTATTTAAGATACACTGTAATTTATTGTAAATGATATGATAATGTTGTTCGTGTTTTAAGTAATGTACTATAAGTATCGATCTAGTGGAT